AAAAAAAAAAAAAAAAAAGATAACTTTTTCTATCTTTTTTCTGTAAGTATTTAATTAATTATCAGTGTTTCTCATTATATATATATATATATAGATGGCCATATAGATGTTGGTTTTGTCTTATGCCAACCAAAAATTTCCCTTTAATTGTAAGCGTTAATGCGTGCAAAGTAAAGAGAATTTATAAGTAATGTTTATAAGAGCCACTTTTTCTAGTGAAATGCAGCTTAATCAAGTAAAGAGAATTTATAAGTAATGTTTATAAGAGCCACTTTTTTCTAGTGAAATACAGCTTAATCTCTAACTCGTTTATACAGTTTTGATATGAAGTTAATAGTTGACTTCATAGTGAAGTCAAACTTTTATATACAACAAGTAACCATATCATATTAATAAAATTATTTTATTTAAGTAATTAGATGATATGGTATGATTTACTTGTTGTATATAGAAGGTTAACTCCACTATGGAGTCAACCATCGCCAGTTTTTCAAGCGTATTGCTTCCTTGAGTTGACCAGACAGTGGTTGCAAATACATACACCTTCTTGAAATTCCTTGCCAAGATTGCCAATTTCAATGTTTTATTACTTTGGGAGGCCATCCGAGGTTGAGGTCGTTAACCCCCTCCACCTTCAGTGGGATCAAAATCGTTTTCATACGCTGGATCTCGTCGTCGTCCTACTGCTCATCGGCCTGGTAGGTATCTTCTATTTCATCACGAGAGTGATACGTGATCAATCGCTGGGGATCAAAGTCAATGGGTAGACCCGGGACATACCTGATATACAGTTTTCCTCGGCAATGGAAGTCTATTCGAATATGCGCTGCCTACAATTTTACACTTTTGTGGGGAAATACCGTTGGCATCACCACAACCACCACGAGAACCCGATATTTGTGTCTTGAAATAAAAAATATTATATTAAAAAAAGGATAAAAAAAAGAGAGGTGAAGATGATAGAAAATAAACAACGATAGAGTATTATGTTGAACCGAAACCGAAATGAGGG